TTCAGTTAGATACAGGTTATGGTCAGATGTCTTTCCCAGTAGATCATGAAAAGACCATGAGGATTAAGTTTCCAAGAATTGGACCCAGTTGCCACCATTGCCTGTTACCAGTGCTTTAACCATACTGCTCTAAGCTTCAGTTTGGTGGTGGTGGTGGCGGCTCAGTCATGTCTGACTCTTTGCTACCCAATGGACTGTAGCCCTCCAGGCTCCTCTGTCCATGGGATTTTCCAGGCAAGAATACTGGAATGGGTTGCCATTTCCTTCTCCAGGGAAGCTTTAGTTTTGTCATCAATAAAATGGAGTTAATGAGCTTATCTTATTCATAGGGTAGGGACTAAGTTGGATTTAAATATGATCGGAAGTGACGTATTTCACACACACTAGACACCTTCTTTCTCTTTTAAACCTGCACCACATTGTCATCATTTACGTATTCCCCTGCTACCACTCAAGGACAGGGTGGGGATTTGGTCTTTGCACTCCTAGTACCTGGCTCTCTGCATGGCTTGTGGTCCACAAGTATCTGAACTAATTTTGACTCTTCCCATCTGAGAACACACCTGACTCTTTCCCAGGCTGTGCCCCTTTGATGAAGTTAGCACTCTGCTGGGAAAGGCAGACAAGACAGCCACTGGCTGCACAGGGAAGCCGGGAGGGGACGGACATGCTGAAGACAAAATCTGATTTACATCTTTACTGTAGTTCCTGGGTTTGTAAACAATTAATATAAATTGATCCCAGTATAACTATCTGTTTCTAATAAGGGGATAGAGTAAAAAGATAGATCACATTATTCTTCTGTGGTTCCTGGTGTTCAGGCTTTTCCGAAGGTTCCTCCCTTTGTTTGTGTTCCATTAATAAGTGAAAATACTCTGAAACCTGGAAGTGCTGTTATATACCCGTGTTATGTATAAGCTTGTATGAGTATGATTTTTAGATAAATGATTGGTTAAAAAAGATTAGCTGTTGAGTAAACATTGATTCAGAAATATTTTTTGACTGCCTACCATGTGCCAGGGACTGTTTTGGGTACTGGAAATTTAGTAATGAATAAGGCAGATAAATCTTGAGACACTCTTTTAATAAGATAACAAAATATGTAGTGTGGGAAATGGGGACTAAAGCTACAGGAAAAAAAAAAAGCAGGCAAGGGACAGGGAGGGTCAGGGGAATAGAATATTTAGACAGGATGGAATTATATATCTCTTTCCTGTCCTCCCTCACTGTGATCAAGATTCATAACATGGTAACTTGGCCCTGCAGTGTCATGTTTGCCCTGTTAGGTCAGTTAGGCAAACAAAAGAACCACTGAAAGGTGGTTCATCAAGGTGTCTAATAATAATTTATTTTAGACTTGCATGAATCATATTAACAAAAAATTACTTTAAACTATTAAAGTACAAACATCATCCTAATCTAAGATCCCAATTTAAAAATAACTCTTAACAAACATATAAATATTAAAAAACCCGAAAGACTAACTCAGCCCCTTGTATAATTACTAATATAAGCCCATAAATATACTGTTTTTTTTTTTTTTAATATGGAACGCTTCACGAATTTGCGTGTCATCCTTGCGCAGGGGCCATGCTAATCTCTGTATTGTTCCAATTTTAGTATATGTGCTGCCGAAGCGAGCACAAATATACTGTTGTTTTTATATTACCTAAAAGTATCTATTGCTTTTGAAGCTGATAGCTGTGTTATTAAAATTGAAAATGACTATTCCCTTCTAAAATTAATGTGAAAAATAAATAATTATTAAGAGGGCTGTAGTCTGAAGTATTAGATCAGTTTGATTCTGATTTTGATACACAAAGAAAGAATGGATCCACCAATTCTAGTCATTCCGATCCCCTTACCCAGAGCGCTTGGGAAGTTGTTTACTCTCTGAGGACCAGCTGCTGACGTCTGCTCGCTGAGTAATGTCATCAGATTTCCTGGTGGTGGTTATTTTGGGGGGGCAGTGGTAAGTAGCTGTCTGGCCCTGCCGGGACACTGCTCAACAGAGGTCCTGAGAGCCGGACATACCCCGTAGACAGGATGTAAGGTTAGAATGCAGTCAAGTTAAGTAAATACAGTCAGTGTTCATGACAAAATAGAATTGCTGAGACATTAATGTTTGAAATGACACTGCTAAAATTATATTGAGGTGGAATCCAAGATCTTTAAAGACAATCTGGAACTTCTTTTCTTTCTTAGAATTAATGCAATGGTGAGTTATTTTTATAAGTTGAGATCATAAAGTTACATTGTCCTTTGTAAAAGTTGCTTCATCCACTTTTGGTGAAGACCATGTCCTCAGGATTGTTTTCCCAGGAGGAGTGGGACTTTTGCCCTTAGCTGTCCATATTTTTATCTTGTCCTTCAGCTTGGGACCAACACTATATACAAATATATATGTATTTTTTTTAAATCAAACTAGTCATTAACATTTTAAAGTTTTACTAATTATTGCCTTTAACTTCTTGTTCTCTCCCCCATTTCCTTAAGTTGAAACTATTGATTTTCTCATATTTAGTGAATTGGAAGCTTAGTATATTGACTTAATTCTTGTTTCATGACAGAAAGATCTAAGACTAAGTTTTGCCTCTGAGTAAAATTTTCTAGTATCCTGTAGGCCTCGTTACATTATATTCTCATTTTTATTATTTTCCAAGTAATCTATAGGTAGAGTTTGCATTCCCCTCTCTGATCCAGCAATTACATGAGTTATATTTTTACAATTTCCAGGGAGTTCTTTCTTATGTTTTTAATTTTGGTTTTCTTGCTTTATGGTTGGAAATAAAAACTATACAAGTTTTGCTTTTAGGAATATGTTTTAAGGTTTTCATCTCCTTGATCCTTCATAGCAAATGTCAGGAGTATCATTTGTAAGAGGCTGCAGCCTGTGGTTCACATAGAGGACTCAAATATTGCAGCTGCTTTATCCTGGGCAGTGGCACAGCCTTCCTGTTGACTGTTTTCTCTTTTCTTTTATGAAACTCCAGCTCTCAATACTGTAGAAAATAAGCAAAATGAATTTTCCTTCTTTTTGCTGTCATTTTCTTCCTTCTTCCTCAGTGGCTTCACTGTCTTCTTCAAGCAGTAGGCTTCTATCATTTCTTGTTCTTTGATTTCATTCATTTCTTTGAACTTTGTTCACAAAAAACAACAAAAACCTCATTGTTCTTGGTCTCTCTTGGTGCCTCTTGCCTTCCTTCCTACTGCATTGTGAGAGTGACTGTACAGAGTGCCTCTCTCTCTCTCTCTCTCTCTCGACTCTCTTGGGGCCTCCTGGATCATCATCTCTCAGAAATTCTGGCTTCAGTATCCATCTGTGGCTCCCGATGAGGCTGGCTTGTGGCCACCCAGGTCCGGAGGAAAGACGGTGCCATAGCCTGTCCATGCTCACCCTTCCTTCACACTGCAGAGATCCGTCCTCAGTCTCGGGTCTAGAGGGCAGCGACCCTCATCCTTACATCTTCTGAGAGATGAGGTCCCTACAAAGCAAGGAAATTGAGCCTTTGTCCCATAATTAGTAGATATTGGCTTCTCACAGTTAGAAATAGACACAGATGTCCTCCGTCACTCTGCAGGTTTTGTTACATGGATTTACTGTAGGATAGATCACTGCTTGAGGGGAGAGATGGGACCTGGGCGGGCAGGTAGGAAGTATCTTGTGAGAAGGTTTCCAGATCTAGTTCTACTGCTGCTGTGGTTTTGGTTTGAAATTGTACCATCACCTAGAGGCCTCAAGTAGTGTAGGAGTCCTGCCAACACACACAGTGTTTCTGGAGAAACTGCAAAAATGTGTCTCTTCTTCCGGGTAGCAGCCCAGGGCCGGGGCTTATGGCTTGGGGCTGGATTTCAGCCTCCATCCCCCTCCCTTGTGCTCCTTTTGTAGCGCACAGACTTTCCAGCCCTTCCAGTGGCCCTGGGCTTGCAGCACAGCTTATAGAACTAAACAGACTGGTTGGCGCAGTCCCAGCTACTGTGTGGCCTTAAACAAAGTACTTGGAACCTCCGTTTCCCACTGTGAACTCTCAGCATGTTGCAGAGATGCAGTGAGATACAACGTATGTTCAGCTCTTAGTGTAGCACCCAGCATATGCGGAGCTCCCCATTGGCGCTGTGATTCTTATTACTTGTTGGGGTTTGGTTATGACATTGTATTTTTAAAATTATTGATTTGTTTGGCTGTACTGTGTCTAAGTTGCAGCACATGGGATCTTTTTTATGTTTGCGGCATGCGGAATCTGGTTCTCTGACCAGGGATTGAACCTGGGCCCCCTGCATTGGCCACGTGGAGTCTTAGCCACCAGACCACCAGAGAAGTCCCCAATGATACTGTATTTATCTTTCTGTGTTGGTTTTAAGTTCTCAAATAGATAAGCTTTTTTTTTTCCCTCTGTGTGGCTTGTGGGATCATAGTTCCCCTACCAGAGGCCAAACAGGGGCTCCAGCAGTGAGAGTGCGGATTCCTAACCACTGGGCGCCAGGGAATTTCCAATAAGCATTAATTGATAACTATCGTGTATAGAGAAGGTGTCTTTGGCTCTGATGTCCTGTGGTTCTGCTTACTGGATTTCATTATTTTTGTGCCATTTTAGATGTAAGGGTTCATTTTCCGTCAGGGGAAAGATGGGAGTAGACATGGAAGGACCCAGTGTTCATTCAGTGTCTAATCTGTGGGGCTCTTTATATTATATGCCTGTTGATCTCTGTAACAAGTGAGGAATTGAGGCTGAAGGTGGGCAGTTCACTTAGAGTCACATGCAGCTAGAAAAAGAAAAGCTGAGAGCAGACACATTTTATTTGTCCTTCTCTGCGCTCCACCTTTCCTGGGGTTTATAAGGAGAAACCTGGGGTCCCTCCATCTAATAAGTATTTATGTAATTTTTCTCTAGAGTAGAAATTTCACTTTCATCTGTGGCACTGATTAGAGAGAGCAACATTTAAGCAAGTTTATCTTTCTTTTTTTTCTTTTTAATTTTAAGCAGATCTTTTTCTTTCAGGTAGCAGTAGCTGATGTGCAATTTGGCCCCATGAGATTTCATCCAGATCAACTCCAGGTAATAATACACAGTGCTATAATCCTCACCTTAATTGTCTGTAAAGATGGGGGGAGGGAAAGGATCTAAAAGTATACACTGAAAGTAATCTCTTTTAGATAAAATATTGGATCCATGTTAAATTCCCTGAACTTGATAGCAGTACTACAGTTATATCAGGGAATGTTTTTTTCTTAGAAATATAGATGAATTTATTCTGTATGAATCATCTGTATTTACAGATGAAGAAATGCCTGCAACCTACTTTAAAAGTTAAAAGGTTCAGCGAAAAATAATAAGTGTGTGTGTGTGTGTGTGTGTGTCTGTGGAGAGAGAGAGCAAAGGTGTAAAAATGTTACCAATTCATGAAATTAGAAGAGGGGGTCACTAGTATTCAGTGTCATTCATAACTTCCTGTAGGTTTGAAATTTTCTAAAACAGAGTAAAAACGTAATGAATCAGTTCCAGCAGAGAGAAACTATCTGCAAATTTTCTAGTCCAAAATCTTAAACAAAATAACCAACTGAAATTAAGCTCCAAAGTGACCTGATGCCTCATGTACACAAACTGTTAGAATTTTTAATATGTGAAAAGCACTGGCGGAAACGTGCTGTTTGCTTTTGTTGTATTTGTGTACCCGAGTAAGCGTAGAGGAACCCAGTCCTCAGGAACAGGGTTTCTGTCGGCTTTGCAGCCTCTTCCTCTCAGGCTGGTCAGCCTGGGTATGAAGGGGGATGGGGCTGCGCGCCTGTACCAGGTTGGCACAGGGACCTGGCTGTGCAGGGCAGAGGCAGCCGCAGGCCTCACCTGCCCAGGCCGGGCACAGGGACAGCCAGCTGGCTCCTGCACCTGGAGCTATTCCCGTGTCACTAAATGAGCAGGTTTGAAAGTGTCACGTTTTGGTCTGCTTTGAATCTCCTCTCTTACAATCAAAGTAATTTTTTTTTTTAAACTTGGAGGGATTATGAAGTCTTGAGTCAGAATATTTAATACTTTAAATATTATTTAAAGTATTAAGTATTCTAAGAGCTTGACTGAAATATTGGCATTTGCCATCTAAGGACTTAACCTAGTTAACTTCCTGTTAACTAAAATTTGTGTTTTGGTTGATTTGATTTGAAGATGAATTACTTAAGTCTTTGTTGAATTCTTCCAATGGGCTTATTAGCAAAAGAAATAAGCATTTGACCCATGCTCTGACTTCCAGACTCAGAACAGCTAGAATAGCACTTGTTTCAGGGAGCTGAGCAGTAACGTTGCTGAGTTACATGGAGGAAAAGGATTTACTCAACAGATTGTACTGCTCACATCTGTGTACTTGCCTTGAAAACACTTGGGAGTTTTCTGTGGGCTTCTAAGACATGACAGTTCTAAGAGCATCTTTTTTATTTATTTTTTTTTAAAGAAGTGTTCATGCTTTTTTGATTCAGGTACTTTTAGTGTTTACCAAAGAAGATAACCAGTGTAATGGATTCTGCAGGGCGTGTGAAAAAGCAGGGTTTATGTGTACAGTTACCAAGGAGGCTCAGACTGCCCTCGCCTGTTTCCTGGACAAACACCATGACATCATCATCATAGACCACAGAAATTCCCGACATCTGGATGCTGAGGCACTGTGCAGGTGAGCCTGAGAAGTGGGCCTCGAGAGTCCTGTGGCATTTGTGACAATAAGTGCAGTCCTGAAATACAGTCAGTTGAATTCAGTGTCTTTTAAGTTGCCTTCCATGCATATAAAGTGAACAAGACGTTAGACTATATTATTGGGCTTCCCTGGTGGCTGATACGGTAAAGAATCCATCTGCAATGCAGGAGACCTGTGTTTGATTCCTGGGTTGGGAAGAGCCCCTGGAGAAGGAAATGGCAACCCACTCCAGTATTCTTGCCTGGGAAATCCCATGGTCAGAGAAGCCTGGTGGGCTACAGTCCATGGGGTCAGAAAGAGTTGGACACAACTAAGCAACTAACACTTTCACTTTAGAATATTATTACTTCTAGGAGTGATCTTTATCTCTTTTGTTTCATTTTGCTTTGCTTAAAGCAGTAAGAAAATATGAATGTGAACTGTTAAGGGTTAAGATGAAATCCCATATGTCATTAACCACAGCTGTCACTTGCATAGGACTGCAACGAGAGTTATTGTCGTTTTCTAGATGTTATTTAAAGTTACAACATATTTGAAAATTGTCTTCCAACCTTAGGCAAATGTGCCTTGTTTTTAATACTTGCAGAAAATCAGTATCATGAGAGAATTTGTGTAGTAGACATAAATCTTAAGAAAGGTGCTTTCTCAAAAAAAGTCATTTGTTGCTGATAGAAGCAAAGCAAAAGTGAAATATCAGTTTTATTTAAAAGGAAGCTTTACTTGGGGGAAGACAAATCGTAATTTGAATATAATGTAAAATTTTGTAATGTGTTAATTTTCCAGTTCCAGTTCAGTCACTCGGTCGTGTTCGACTCTTTGCAACCCCATGAACTGCAGCATGCCAGGCCTCCCTGTCCATCACCAACTCTAGGAGCCTACCCAAACTCATGTCCATTGAGTCGGTGATGCCATCCAACCATCCCCTTCTGTCATCCTCTGTCATCCCCTTCTCCTGCCCTCAATTTTTCCCAGCATCAGGTCTTTTCAAATGAGTCAGCTCTTCGCATCAGGTACCCAAAGTATTAGAGTTTCAGCTTCAACATCAGTCCTTCCAATGAATATTCAGGACTGATTTCCTTTAGGATGGACTGGTTGGATCTCCTTGCAGTCCAAGGGACTCTCAAGAGTCTTCTCCAACACCATGGTTCAAAAGCATCAATTCTTCTGGGTTCAGCTTTCTTTATAGTCCAACTCACACATCCCTACATGACTACTGGGAAAACCATAGCCTTGACTAGACAGACCTTTGTTGGCAAAGTAATGTCTCTGCTTTTTAATATGCTGTCTAGGTTGGTCATAACTTTCCTTCCAAGGAGTAAGTGTATTTTAATTTCATGGCTGCAGTCACCATCCGCAGTGATTTTGGAGCCCAAAAAAATAAAGTCTGCCACTGTTTTTCCATCTATTTGCATGAAGTGATGGGGCTGGGTGTTAATTTTAGGGATGTTTAAATCTTGGCTTTTAGGAGCTAGAAAATATTAAAAGCTAAATATTAAGGTAACAATTTAAAAACTGAGCTGACAAGAAATTGACATCCCATCAGAAGGCTGTTTACAGGTACATGGCGACTTGTGTGTACTTGAGAATTCACCTGTCAGGAGGTCAGACAAGGTGGCTTTCACCTTGGTGTGATCCATGTCTGTTAAAACTTGCCCCCGGCCTTGGTCTCAGGCCTGCTGTGCTGCCTGCGTCCCTTTCCTGTTACTGTCGGGTTGATGTCAGTTAGCCATTGTCCCTGGAGCCAGAGCTGTTGGACGTGTTATCTGGCAGTGCACCCGTGAGGGCGGCGGAGGTGTGAAGGGAGTCCTGACCCCGGGGCCTAGCCTCTGGCCTTCAGGTCACTTTACAACTTCTCTGAGGATGTGTTTTCTCAGCTGTAAATCTGGAACATTTGGTTTCCAAGATCCTTTCTCTCTCAAACATTTGATGGCATTCAGAGGAACGGAAGAAAATGTCTCAGTTACATGGTGCTTATAGTCTTGATGGACTGCTGTGAGGCAGGAGAGGTATCTGAAGAGGGCCAGAGAGCCCAGACAGAAGAGGTGAGAGGGGTGAGGTACTGAGGAAAACCTGGCTTCCTTCATAGTCTTATCCAAGTCCAGACCTAGCCACAGATGTGTGCAGAACACTGACCTTCACACTTATAAACATGGCCTTGCTAGACCGCCCAGGGCTCTAAGGGAAAGATTAAATTGTGGTAGTTATGTTATGCTTTTTTTTTTTTAACTTTTTATTTTCTATGGGAGTATAACTGATTAACAGTTTTGTGGTAGTTTCAGGTGCATAGCAGAGCAACTCAGCCATACGTATACATGTATCCATTCTCCCTGAAACTCCCCTCCCATCCAGGCCGCCACATAACATTGAGTAGAGTTCCTTGTGCTGTACAGTAGGACCTTGTTGGTTATCCACTTTATTTATTTATTTATTTTGGTTATCCACTTTCAATATACGCTCTACTTTTTTTTTTTTTTTACTATGGAATACAAAAGTAGGAAGTCAAGAAACACCTGCAGTAACTGGCAAATTTGACCTTGGAGTACAGAATGAAGCAGGGCAAAGGCTAATAGAGTTTTGCTAAGAGAATGCACTGGTCATAACAAACACCCTCTTCCAGCAGCACATGAGAAGACTCTACACGTGGACATCACCAGATGGTCAGTACCGAAATCAGATTGATTATCTTCTTTGTAGCCAACGATGGAGAAGCTCTATACAGTCAGCAAAAACAACACCAGGAGCTGACTGTGGCTCAGATCATGAACTCCTTATTACCAAATTCAGACTTAAAATGAAGAAAGTAGGGAAAACCACTGGACCATACAGGTATGACCTAAATCAAATCCCTTACCATTATACAGTGAAAGTGACAAATACATTCAGGGGATTAGATCTGATCGAGTGCCTGAAGCACTATGGACAGAGATTCGTGACATTGTACAGGAGAACAGGGATCAAGACCATCCCCAAGAAAAAGAATTGCAAAAAAGCAAAATGGCTGTCTGAGGAGGCCTTTCAAATAGCTGTGAAAAGAAAAGAAGTGAAAAGCAAAGGAGAAAAGGAAAGATATTCCCATTTGAATGCAGAGGTCCAAAGGATAGCAAGGAGAGATAAGAAAGCCTTCCTCAGCAATCAGTGCAAAGAAATAGAGGAAAACAATAGAGTGGGAAAGACTAGAGATCTCTTCAAGAAAATTAGAGATACCAAGGGAACATTTCATGCAAAGATGGGCACAATAAAGGACAGAAATGGTGTGGACCTAACAGAAGCAGAAGATATTAAGAAGAGGTGGCAAGAATACATGGAAGAACTGTACAAAAAAGATCTTCATGACCAGATAATCACAATGGTATGATCATTCACCTAGAGCCAGACATCCTGGAATGCGAAGTCAAGGGGGCCTTAGGAAGTATCACTACGAACAAAGCTAGTGGAGGCGGTGGAATTCCAGTTTAGCTGTTTCAAATCCTAAAAGGTGATGCTGTGAAAGTGCTGCACTCAATATGCCAGCAAATTTGGAAAGGTCAGCAGTGGCCACAGGACTGGAAAAGGTCAGTTTTCATTCCAGTCCCAAAGAAAGGCAATGCCAAAGAATGCTCAAACTACCGCACAATTGCACTCATCTCACACGCTAATAAAGTAGTGCTCAAAATTCTCCAAGCTAGGCTTCAACAGTGCATGAACTGTGAGCTTCCAGCTGTTCAAGCTGGATTTAGAAAAGGCAGAGGAACCAGAGATCAAATTGCCAACATCCGCTGGATCATCGAAAAAGCAAGAGAGTTCCAGAAAAACATCTATTTCTGCTTTATTGACTGTGCTAAAGCCTTTGACTGTGGATCACAACAAACTGCAAAATCCTTTAAGAGACAGGAATACCAGACCACTTGACCTGCCTCCTGAGAAATCTGTATGCAGGTCAAGAAGCAACAGTTAGAACTGGATATGGAACAACAGACTGGTACCAAATCGGGGAAGGAGTACATCAAGGCTGTATATTGTCACCCTGCTTATTTAACATATATGCAGAGTACATCATAAGAAACGCTGGGCTGGATGAAGCACAAGCTGGAATGAAGATTGCCGGGAGAAATATCAGTAACCTCAGATATACAGATGATACCACCCTTATGGCAGAAAGTGATGAACTAAAGAGCCTCTTGTTGAAAGTGAAAGAGGAGAGTGAAAAAGTTGGCTTAAAACTCAACATTTAGAAAACTAAGTCTTGGTCTTTGGTCCCATCACTTTATGGCAAATAGATAGGGAAACAGTGGCAGACTTTATATTTTGGGGCTCCTAAATCACTGCATATGGTGACTGCAGCCATGAAATTAAAAGATGCTTGCTTCTTGGAAGAAAAGTTATAACCCATCTAGACAGCATATTGAAAAGTAAAAACATTACTTTGCCATCAAAGGTCCATCTAGTCAAGGCTATGGTTTTTCCAGTAGTCATGTATGGATGTGAGAGTTGGACTATAAGATAGCTGAGCACTGAAGAATTGATGCTTTTGAACTATGGTGTTGGAGAAGACTCTTGAGAGTCCCTTGGACTGCATGGAGATCCAGCCAGTCCATCCTAAAGGAAATCAGTCCTGAATATTCATTGGAAGGACTGATGCTAAAGCTCCAATACTTTGGCCACGTGATACAAAGAGCTGACTCATTTGAAAAGACCCTGATGCTGGGAAAGATTGAAGGTGGGAGGAGAAGGGGATGACAGGATGAGATGGTTGGATGGCATCACCAACTCAATGGACAGGAGTTTGAGCTGATTCTGGGAGATGGTGAACGATAGGGAAACCTGGCGTGCTACAGTCTGTGGGGTCGCAAAGAGTCAGACATGACTGACTGAACTGAACTGAACTGAAAAATACACATAAGACTTCCCTCGTAAAGAATCTGCCTGCCAGTGGAGGAAGCACAGGTCGCAAATCCCTGGGAGTCAGTAAGATCCCCTGGAGGAGATGACAGCCCACTTCA